TCTATTCATAATCAACAGATATCTGACTAATCGGAATAATTTTAGAATTAGTATGAAACTAACTATATTTTGGTTCATGATACAAACCCAACTTAGTTAAAAGTAATTTTTATTTAAAATAAAATACAGTGGCACAATTGAGTGTATTGGTTGAAGTTAGACATTAACACTCAGTGGTTTATAGATTACGTGGTCACGCGCGAGAGACCGATAGTTTCTGGGTTGGAATTCCGCGAGCGGCATCGGCACTGCTGAGGAACCCTGTACTACGATGAAACGGTTGTCCAGTGTTTGCAAGTTTTCCATGGCAATCTAGCTTGAATTAACTGATGAACCCAACTATTAAAATGAAGAATTTTATTGGCCAGAATAAAATGTATTTCTTAAAATGGAATTATTGAAAAAAAGGTTTTCATTAATTAAACAGCATATTTTAGTTGTATATGAGTTTTTAAATAATGATTTCAAAACTCACAGTAGTCAATTGAAAGTATGCTATTAGGGAATTATCAATGAACAACTAAAATAAAGTGTATATTTATCACAAAGAGAAAAAGTAAAAGATCTAAGCAACTAGTCTTAACAATAACTGAAGCGTCAGGATTAAATTCAACTGATCAGCTGATCACCAATAATGGATTGATCAAATAATGGTGAAGTATAGCTAGTTAAACAACTTTTGTACTTATAATTTAGTCCGATAACTTTTGTTGCTAATGAGTTAAAAGAAAAATACAGTAGGCTATGAATGATGCAAATGACTTTAAAATCGAACGTCTACGAGACAATAATTGGACGTGTTTCATTTATCAGTTAGTTGGTTACCTCCTACTTGATGCTCATCCCTTATCTTTTCCTACCCTTTCGTCTGCGTCAATTTTCGCTCGTTTTTTTATTAAAATATAAATTTTTTAATAACAATTCATAATTACTTATGTATTACATTTGAGGGTTGTATACACTTCAGATCAGACAGTTGAATGATTTTTTTTATTCAGATATTAAACCAGTAATCAAGTGAATAGTATCTACGAAGATTCACCATACTACAAATTAAAACTATCGGTTCTTATCTATTTCAGTCAGTCAGTCATTCACAACGTAGGATCTGGCACATATATGCATTGGTCCAATTTGCCACAGTTCATTAGGACGACAAGATCAACACCAAATTTATAGAAACCGTTACATCAATAGTAGTAATATACAAAAAATTGCACACAACAATATGGTAAAGAAAGAAAGAAAGAATTCGTAGAAAGAAAAATGTAGAGTAATTTTAATCTCGTAATTTAAGGGAAAACAGATAGTGTATAGACCTGCGCCACTGAGATTGATTCTGAGCCAGAGACTCCAGCCACTGGTTACGGTAGTTGCACAGACCCCAACCGATTACTCTACATTTACCAACATGGCTCGGATCAGAAGTTAGTGAATTAACGGACTGATACCACGTTTTCGTTTGGCCGCCCGTAACTTTCTACTATCCTTCTCCAACACTAGTCAGAATTTATTAAAGTCTTTTATCGTTTTTTAATTCTCTCCTTATTTAATCTATCATTTATGATTAAGTAACACTAACTATTTACATCCATCGTATTTGGACTAGTTTTAGCGAAATTCATTTAAAACTATATAAAGATAAAAATCACGAGAACTATTACGAGCATGATAAGTAAACGAAAAAAAGGAACAACAACTCTATTTATAGTCGACTGGTTGAGCATTGGCCAATGTTATATCTATCTAGTTCATTAATCTTGATGGGATTCTGTCGATCAAGTTGTGACGTGATCACCGATGTAAAAGACTCAAAATCGTGTTAGATAGTAAGGAGTAGTGAGTAGGCTTCTTGCTGAGTAATCGCAACCATCTAGTTAAATAACTCTAATTAATAACCACTGAATGAATGGGTTATTTTAATTCATTTATATTGGTTGTGTGAATCTTCCCATTGATGTTTAGGACAACGAATGATCAGTTTCTTGTGTGGATTGCCGTTAAGTCACAAACAATTTTACGCAGGAATGGATGGTGGCTCGTTCTGTCCGGCTCTTATCAGCTGCATTTAGTTGGATTCCAGAGTTGATGTCCACTCCGGGACTCGAAGTAATTAAACTACACTCCATTAAACAAACAAGTGGTTACCTGAACACATTAGATAAGTGAATAATGCTATAGCTTTTCAAGCGAACGGTAGTGAATTCGTGTCTCAGAGTGAATATCACTTATAAAACCCAAGTACGTCCAGCTGACAATTCACTAATAAGACGAAACCCATGTTCTGGATTTCACTGTTAACCACTATCCATCACTGCTTAAATTACTCGTGAATGTGTTTATTTAGTTTTAAAAAATTTATTATCTTTTTCATAATGGCCAAGAAGGGTGAACAAAAAACTTTAGTTTTAGAACATTTGACAACGTTTCACATTTGTCTTAGCTTAAACACCTTCAGATTAACAAACATAATTTCTCTTTACGAATTATTACTTCAAATACATTAATAGAATTTAACACCTTTTATATTTCAATAGTTGAAATCATGAGTCAATTGAAGCTAGACCACAATGGAAAACCTAGAAGCACTGGACGGCCGTTTCGTCCTAGTATAGGACTCCTCAGCAGTGCGCATCCACGATCCCGCATCGCGAGATTCGAACCCAGGACCTATCAGTCTCGCATATTCAAACAAGTAGGAGTCAATCAAATGATTTCAACTTAAATTCATTTGCATTCTATCTGGTTGCATGACCCGATAGAAAATTTGAACAATTATTTCCTTTACGGAATCATGATTATCAAACATTATGTAAAATGAAGAGATCCTCATTAAAATAAATCATAAATAATGAAAATAATTTATGAAAAATCGATAAAACAAATGATGCAAATACATGATATGGTAAAATAAAAGAGTTTAATATTAAATCAATAAACTTATTACCCATTACATTTATTAACATTAATAATCAGTAATTGAAAATGGTTAATCAACAAGTCATCAAATAATTAATTCATTCATTAATTAATTCTCTTTAGTTACTTATACATAATTATTTATATGTAAAATCAGATTCATTCAGTGTTCAAATTAAGATTTCATTTTGTTTATTGTTATATCTCGATGAGAACAATGAATGGTAACTGTTAAAATCTATTTCTGGACTTATACTAAACATTGATCTTTAAATTGTGCAATTGTTAAATAACTAAACTATTCATATTCGTGTTTTTCTTATTACAAGCTTTATTTTGACCTATGAACTATTATTATACGATTTACCATTCTTGAGTTATACCCAATCTATCAATTAATATCTCCCTTATTCACAGCCACATTTGGGTAAATCTTGTACAAATGTTGTTTCCTGATTTATGGTACGATGTAGTCTGTTTGGTTTGTATATAAACCCATTATTTTTGAAATAAATGATTCATATCGCAGAGTCTGAGATCTGTGTTCTGGACTTAACAGACAGGGCTAAGCAGGAAACAGAACCGATAAGGACACTAAACTGCTCATACGACTTTATGTGTCGTTGGTCCGATCGATAGTTCTTTTCTCTAATTGGCTATATCACTACGTTATATAATGATAGGAATACAATACCATTTACTAAGTTTATTGATCAAAAATGATGCTTTGCATCTGAAAACCTCAGATCTACATATATTTTACCTTTGGTTAACTTCAAATCTAGTTAGTATCTATGTTAAATGTATACATTCTATCTTTAACTATATTTAAATGAATTGATTTGATTCAACTTATTAATGATTTTTTGTTTAGGTGACGGTTCGATTTAACACTCGTTCATTATTACTATTCGTTATTTCATTTCATTTCACTTCATACTTTACACAATCTATGATCAAACATTTTATCTCTTTCATCTCCGACTATTTATATTTGATTCAATGGTTAATATTACACTTCCGAATGACCTACAATTTGGAACAAGTACACATTATGCAATAGTAATCTTATTACTAACGAAGTTGTTTTGGAAACAATTCTATCTTTCAACAGATACATTTGCTTTGAACTTGGCTATCTTCTTGAATCAAGTGTTTGAACTAGTAATTGTAGAATCTGAAAAGAATATTCTATGCCAAAATATATCTTCCTAATAGTGGGAATTTATTTATAACCAGATGAAATATGATAATTAATATATTTCTTTGTTATATCCCAAACAGTAGAAAAATTGTATTGCTGACATTTCGTGACATAATGTAAACCATTTCTTAGATTAAATAAATAACTGAATTATTTAACCGAGTTGTTTAGTTATTCTAAAGAAGCAGCTTACATTAAGTCACGAAATGTCAAAAATAAAAAATTTGTTCACTGTTTGGGATATAAAAAAATATATTGATTATTAACTTTCTACTCAATATTTCATTTATTTAAAACTATCAAGTTTCAACCTTGGCATTGATACCTACAAATGAAATATGAATGTAATTGATACTGTGTTAGCTTTATAATTAATCTAGAACAACATATATAGGCGGACATTATATCTCACTGTCTATATTTTTCTAATCACTGACCTATTTCCGATTATGTAATATTGATTTGAGCCTTTATTATTCTTATCAAAAACTAATACACCTGTTATCACACTACCAATTTGTACTTTGCACTTTTCACTTATTATGTAATCGTTTTCATTGTTATCATTGACTTATAAACTACCTTGATTGGTTTAATAATTTCATATATGCATATAAATATTACTGTATATTAGAGTAAAGCCTGGTGAGGATCTAATCGAAAACAATATTGTTCGCTTATATATGTTGTTCTAAATTTACAATATGGGAATATTTCAAATTATAATTAATCAACAATATTTTCAACTAATAAGTAAGAAAATACTCTAATATTTCCTATTTTAAACAAGTTAAACCGTTTCAATCACTAAGGTCTTACTATTCATTAACAAAATTTGTATAATGCAAACATTTTTTATTAAATAAATACAACTTACAGGTTGTTGGCTCATTGTTTGTATTAATGATATTAGTTTTCACAATGAATTAATAACTGACATTGTTTTAATTGATTTGAACTAGATGTTTTGATTAAATTGTTATATACTACTTATTATAATAAACAATGATTGTAGCTATGGTATCAATCAAATAAATTTCCAATTATAATCATATTGATATATGGCTAAATTTGAAAGAAATAATCATTTGTACAGTTAATATTCTATTTATATATATATACATATATCATTGATATTAATGATCAACACTGTGTAAAAGTATATTCTTTTAGAATAAATAAACTGAAATTAATAATGTTGACTTTTTTTCCTACTTTAGATTTTATTGGTTCATTATTGATTTTATGTAGAACCAGTAAAAATGAACTGATTGGTCAATATTATTCATCTTTTTTTTGATATAATTTTTTCTTGGCTATTTTTCCCTTCTATGTTCATGTTTATGTTCCTTTTGTTATTTCTTGTTTGTCTTAGTTATTTTTATATTATAATAAAAATAGAATAATGATAAATAGCTAAATTTTAAATATATATATATATGCCATTTTCATTAAATTCTTGTTTCTAGGCAAAATTTCCATCAAACAAACGAATAGAAGGATAAAAGATAAGTTTACCAATAACCTGGTATTCAAGGTGTTCCATATGAACTAGATAGTTTAATGAATTCTTAGTACAAACGATAGATTTAACATTATTTTAAAAGTTGTTCATCACATAGTGAAATTAAGTGAATCACAATTGTTTCGTTCTAGTTTAAGACTTTTTAGTGGTAAGCACTCCAAATTTTATAGCTGTTCAGTACTTCCTGGTCTATAGTAGTGAAATGCAAACACATTTCAACTGGAAGCTATTTTTTCTTAAGTAATCAGTGTATTCTTATGAATGGTAATTGGTTTGCTTATTTGATTTCAAAAGGTCTAGTTGGAAATGCCATAATTACAAAAGAATTCCGAAGCTTGAAGTCTACTTCTCACCAAATACAAATACTCATGATAAAACTTTGAAACTCTGGTATTGCATAGTATCAATAAAGATTTGATTTAGATTGGCAAATTGTATATATCCTTCAAATATTATTGAATTTCGTTTTGACGTGGATGTGTTCATTAGTAATTCATTGAGAATAAAAACACTTCATCATTACTAATATAATTCTGGATCATAAACATTGATCTTATCCTAAAGATTTAAACTCACATCTATCAATTCTACAATAACAAATTATACTACTAAACTAATTGAGCTGCTATTGATTTTTGATAAGAAATAAATGTTTTGAACTGACTAGCCAACATCTTATAATCAATGGAATGTTCTTCAGTTTTCAAGAATAAATAACGTCTATCAAGATGCAATTGATTTTTATTGATATAAATTAAAACAATGCAGATATCAGCGATATCCTTCTAAATAACAGTGATACTCATATTGTAATTGTCTATAGCTTTCAATGAATTGATTCATCTTTCTATTTTTTTAAAAATGAGAAATTTTAATGAAAATCGGATTCTGAAAAGGTTTATATTAGATCGCTTTATTTTTTTCATTGTTATAGTTCGATATTGTTGTTACTTTCAAATTATAATCCTACAATATCTCTGGCTTTTGATGCAAAAAGGACATTTAATTTTTTTAAACATTTCTTGCTACTACTACTGTGGTGCATGCTACTTACATTGATATAAGTAGTATATGACGCGAGTCAGGAATGTAACGTCTAGAGGCAGAAGATGGAGAAAATGAAGCAAGCAAGAGCTGGGATAGAATGCAATTTGTATGAAAATGTAAGAATAATGAAGTCTGAAGCATTTTGAGACAATTGGTGAACATTTTGCAAGTTAACGATTATTACATAGTTCTCAGATTTTATTGAGATGCTCTGTAATTTTGTGTCAAATACATCCGATTGTCCCACCCGTGTTCTTGTTCAATACACTACTACTAGTAGTAATTGTTCCACAGATTCACTTAGGTGTGAATGAGATGTTCCAGATATTCCTAAATAATAATAATTTCCAATAAGGCCTAGATATAATCTCTGACATCGGAAGTTCATCATTATTGATTGTATTAAATTGTATTTAGTTTGAACTTCATTTAGATTCCAAACTTCAGCTTAAGTTCATATTAGTATATGTTGAAATTTAAAGTTCTCATCCACTTTATGTATATCGGCTTCATAACACAAATTCATGTAATCTATTCCACTTCATATTGATGAAGCTTTATATCAATATGCTTATGATCATGAGGGAAAAAAACTTACCCCATAGTTTTAAAAATCCATTTCACACAATTACTCTGAACAGCAAAATTATTCATTCGTTTTGAGATAATACGACTTTTTAGTTGATTTGAAACTTTGATGAGTTCAACGTTTGTCATTTTCTTGATTTTTTTCAGAAAATTCTTATTTTGAATCGATCATGCTTGCTATGAGATAGTACACAGCTCAATTTCAGTATTCTACTCTAAATTAACATTTTTTTTGTAAAAATTGTATCAGTGAAAAAATAACTTCAGATTAAAATACTTTTGGATTCCTATAAAAATTGTGTTACTTGTTCGAAATAAAAGTTGAATTTTGTTCTGCATACTTAATCATTATTTAAATACATAAACATTGATACAAAGAGGCACCAAACAGATATGCGCAACATAAATCATTCGATTTGTATGAAGGCTGTGATACTACTCGGGTGCCCAGACCAAATCAGGTGGTTTTCTTAGGGAACCACACCTGGAGCCTTTGACCTAAAGGTTTAATCCACCAGGCAGGAGAGCAACGTCAGGAGGTGCATTTCCGTAGTAGCCGGTGACCAACAATAGGTTCATGCACCATTTGTTTCCTCAGGATCCTGTAACCCATTTGCATCATCGGTTTGCAATCAAGGTTTTCCAACTCCCCTAGATGGACTCTCTGTGTCCACCAACCCGGATAATGCGCTGGACATTCCCTTTTTGTTCTCTCAATTTCGTGAACAACACACACGTCGCTAGAAGGCAATGAGTAGAACTTCACTGGTAGTGACTGTATACGCGTGGCCATGTGAGAGCATTTGGAGAAAGAGCTGACTCTACCCACTATCGACCATACGAAGGCATTTGGGTTTTTATGGTTAAATGTTTATGTTCATTGTTGAAATACATTCTAATATTTATGAAATATCCATTTTTCCTAAGGTTGAAAATAGAAAATCATTTTCTGTTCTTTTTCATATTTAATGTTTCAAACATAAATAAAAAAATTTTTAAATATTATTTAACCCATTACACTAACTCCTATTTCAAACTGAAACTCTACAATTTAGTATTATTTTAAATACAATATCTTCAAATGTAGTTGACCTTTTCGAATGTTAACATTACTCAAATTTTATAAGTATAAATCCATCTAAACAACTAGAACACCATAGAAGTTTCTTGACGGAAATGCTAAACAAAAAAATATTGTACATTTGCTAAACAAATATGAATCATAAATATCAAACATTTAAAATGTTATATGCATAAACAAATCTAAATCTTTGAATTCAGTAGTCTTCGGTAGTGTTTTTTCCAGTAATAGAAAATTATATATAAATACACTTGATGTTGTTTACTTGAAGCTTTCGATTGATGTTTAGGACTGCAATTGATCAGTCTCTTATTGGCATATGTGCATGCTATGCGTATTGCCTTGGTATTGCATTAATATACAAACATTATAAGAAAAAATAGATAGTGGCTAGCAGTGGAATCCAGGACGCGCGTTTCACCTTATCTTGGACTCATCAGCTGGATGTGCCTGCATCTCGCAGTTGATGTTCACCCCGGACTCGAACCCAGTACCGTTCGCTTAAAATACCATCATGTTATCCAATTAGCTAATGAGTCCTGATAGCCACTTGCTTGTGCCATAGGGTGAAGTTTAAATTTACTTAATATTGTTTACTTGAATCTTTGCATTGATGTTTAAGACTGCAATTGATCAGTCTCTTATTGGCATATGTACATACTGTGAGCATTGCCTCGATATTGTTTTAAATGGTTTAAAATAATTTTTCTGAACTGTCAGTAATTCTCAGAATAAAATACCATTACAATACAGGTCTTATGGTTCATTGAAATTATTCTGTTCTATGTAAATGTTTATTTTATGTATTAAACTTTTGTATTCACTTTAACAGAAACTATAGAATTTTATTCATGCACTAAATACAATATACCTACAGCAGTTTTTTTTTTCTTTAATAATAAATTTCCTATTGCCTATTATTTTCAAGTTTATTTTGTACAGTTTCGATGTATCATTATTGATCTACTACCTAAATGTTTGTCTTATAAAGTCATAGATCTGTTTCGTGTTGTTTTGTTTACTTTAGTACAAATATTGAAATTTGTTATTATTAAGAAAAAAATGCTGTACATCGATGCTGTTAGTTAAATACGCATGGCAACCACAAAATTGTTCTTTTTTTACAATGAAGAAAATCAAAAGTATATATTAAGTTGTAAACAGTAGATAGTGAAAAGTAGTGTATTTATTTTTCTTTGAGGTATAATATAAGAATATTGATTAATTCAAGGAAAATCAAACATTACAGATAAAAGAAAGATGAAGTTATAAAAGGAAAGGAAAATGATTAGTTGAATTGTTTGCTTTTCAATCCAGAATTGCTAGGTTTGAAGCTATCACGAGTTCACTTAATCTGTGAACGAGAACAAGCCTCGGCGATCAAAGACCAGTAAGCTAACTATTGATGCGTCCCAGCCCCGCTAACTAGAGAGAGAAGTCCAAGCTTGGAATGGGAAGTATATTCTGCAAAACAGCCAGAAACAAACGATAACAACAAACACAATCCAAAACGTATATATGCAGTGCAAAACTGTCCTTAGGGAGAGTTATGAAATAGCATACTAAAAGACGCAACAGACCAATAGCATTTAAGATATTTATCAGTTGGAAATACGACATGAAGGTGACAAGAGCGCCTTTGGTGCGAAAACAAGGAAATTCAAATTTTCTAACTAAAATTACAAAATTAAGTCTTTTTCCAAGTGAGTTCTGGAGATCTAACGTCCCCAACAAGAATAAAGATTTTTTTTCTATTTCATGTCAGATTATGTTTTAGAATAAATAAGTTAGAAGCAGTTTTAATTTCTTTACAATATTAAATGATGAAACCTAGACATTTATCAAGTAGCTCAACTTCATACTGATATCCATATACCTTCACTCAACTTAGTATATTTTTATTATTTAGCTTGGAAAAACAGATCGTTTCTGTCACGAACAGAATTAT